GAAACAGGCCACCACATCCTAGGGTTGGAGACCACCGTGTATTGCCAGCCCCTAGCATCCAAAGCATGACGCTCACACTCTGTTCCAGTCCACTTGCTTGTTCCACTGCAGACGTAGCCAGGGTGCGCTGAGCAGGTGGGGTTTGTTGGCCCCTCTGCACCAGCACACTTCACCTCCGAAGCCCCCAAGTAGGCCCCCGGAGACTCTGGTTTTTAAGAAATGCACACAGCTACAGGACACATAACCCTCCATAGAAAGGGTTCATGGACTCTTGGCTTAAGAAATCCAAGCCCAAAACACATGGAATTTAGTTCTCCTCCCCTCAAAATTTCCCCTGGTCGTTAATATATTAAAAGCCACTGCACACATTTGAAACCAAATAGAAGCTGAAAATTAAATTCACATTTGTTAGATTTTCCCACCTAATACTGCTGAGCTCGGACAGTATTAGAATTTGGCATGCTTATTTTCTTGTAGATGTTTTAAAAATATATGTGTATGAACTACACAAGAACAATAGTTCTTGAAGAGATCTCTTTATCACTAATAAAATGGTTTGGCATCTTGCGTCTGCATAGTAGGCTCCATTGTGTGATGCTGAGGGCTAGGCCGGCTCCAAGCACAGCACCCTCCCTGTTGTCTTCCTGGCCACAGGCAGTAGGTTGAACATTGTATTAGTCTGTTTCTGTTGCTTATAACAGAATACCTGAAATTGGGTAATTTATAAAAAACAAAATTTAATTCTTACAGTTTTGAGGCTGGGAAGTCCAAGGTCCAGGGAACACATGTGGTGAGGGCCTTCTTGGTGGTGACTCTGCAGTGATGCAGGGTGTCACATGGCAAGAATGGGCCAAGTAAGAGTGAGCTAACCTTACCTGCCCTCCTTATAAAGCCATCAGAACCATGCCCATTACACCCTGAATGGATCACACCATTCATGAGGGCACAGTCCTCACAATCTAATCACTTCTTAAAGGCCCCACCTTTCAAATATCATAATTGGATTTCCCACCATCTTGGCACTGTTACAATGGGGGTCAAGCTTCAGTGAGTTTTGAGGGGGCATTCAATTTGCAGCAAATATCTTCTAATTTCTCCTTTGGAGCAAAATAATTCATCATTTCAGAAGGGGATAAATTAATGAGTAAAATTTACTCTCTGTGCGTGTTTCCTCCTGTGCTCACCAAGCACCCCTCCCTGTGTCTACGTGTGTACCTGTGAATGGTGGGGGGTATGTGCTCAAAGGACCCCAAGAGCAGAGGGGAGTATAAAGAAGAGCCAGGGTTCCCCTGGCCCACAGGGGAGCTTTGAGGTGTCTAAGCATGCTATCTCCAGTGTGGCTGTGGTTGGTTTAATAATGAGCATTTCCAGCCAATGAGGAGAGAGAAGATGGCTGCTAGAGATCCGACAAGTTTTTTTCTCACTCTTAAACTCAGGGAATGGGCCTCTGACTTGCCGTCTGCATGTGATGCCTGGTACTATAGCAGCTACCTTGGGGTTCCTGGGGTGGGACTGGAAAGTGCAGATAAAGCCTAGGAGTGCCAGCCAGCACCCAGTCCACAAGGGGCTCCCTGTCATCTGCTTGTTTAAGCCATGTGCTGTGTGTAGCTGCATGCTCTATTAGCAAGTGTGATGCTTTCTGCTCTTCTCTGTCTGAACAATGAAGTCCTCCCTCTACAGTGCCACCGTTGCATTCTGCCTGTCTTCTTCACTACTCAGCAAGTTCCACTTTGACAGATAAAAGTGGACATCTCTCTGGACAGAGTGCTTAATTTCTCTGGACAGACTGTTTCTGCTGCATTCAGGTCCTGTGTTCCTTCCTTCACAACAGCTGAGCACTGCTAAATGCTGGGCAGGATTTGAGGATCACAGCCTTGAAACAGACAAGTTGTCTTCAAAGAGTTTCTGTTGGAGTTTTGGGGAAGGCATAAACATTAAATATCAATAAATAAGAGTCTAAATCGGTTGTAAGTGCTATGAAGAAAATGAATACAGTAATAAAGCAGTCTTTCAGACTTTTTGGACAAAACTCCACTGCAACAAGTGGATACTTACTGTTATATACAACATATTATATAGAACATACTCCGTGATTCCCTTTATATTAAGTTCAAGGATAGGCAAAATAGTCTATAGTGATTAAAACCATAATAGCAGTTGACTCTGGAGTACAAGGGGGTGTGTTCCTTCCTTCACAACAGCTGAGCACTGCTAAATGCTGGGCAGGATTTGAGGATCACAGCCTTGAAACAGACAAGTTGTCTTCAAAGAGTTTCTGTTGGAGTTTTGGGGAAGGCATAAACATTAAATATCAATAAATAAGAGTCTAAATCGGTTGTAAGTGCTATGAAGAAAATGAATACAGTAATAAAGCAGTCTTTCAGACTTTTTGGACAAAACTCCACTGCAACAAGTGGATACTTACTGTTATATACAACATATTATATATACAGCATATTATTGTTGAAACAAGCCTCACAAAACAACACTTATCTGTACCATGTGTGGTATACTGCCATTTTCTTTTCTTTTGTTTGTTTCCAAATCCTTGACCTGGGTGTCACTGCCATTTTCAGTAAATGCTGTACACACAGCAACTCAAGGAAATTATGCTGAGTGGAAAAAAAAAAAAAGTATCTTGGCCTGCGTGGTGATTACATAGTCACATACAATTGCCAAATTACATTGATCTGTATGCTTAAGATTTGCATTATCTGCATATAAATTATACTTCAATAAAGTACTCTTAACATAAACAAAAGCTATTGCCCAGCCTGGTGAAATAATGTATAGAGATAGAGAACAGATTAGTGGTTGCCAGGGGTTAGGGATGGGACAAGAGGACACACAAGGGAGTCCTATGGTATTGAAAACAATCCACACCACCTGCCTGTGGTGGTTACACAGGGTTACACATGTGATAAAATTGGGTAGAGCCAGATACACAGATGAGTGCAGATGTGACTAGGGAAATAGAATACACTCTGTGGACTGTACCAATGTCAATTTCTGGGTCTTGAAACTGTAGAGTGTAAGGTGTAAACATTTGGGGAGGCTGGGGCAGGGGTATGCAGGACCTCCCTGGACAACCTCCTATGAATCTATAATTACATGAAAATAAAAAGTTAAGAACCAAAACTGCTGGCCATGACTTACTAAAGTGATTATACAACCTAATGGATGGAACCTATTTTTTTGGTTTTTTTGCGGCTGGCCCATATAGGGATCTGAACCCATAACCTTATGGAACCTACTGTTTTAAAAAGCACTACTGTCCATTACCTGTGCTGGGCACTTGCCTTCTTCAGGGAGGTAGGGAAGACCTGACCTGACTTTCCTTCTACAGAGACCTCTGGCTGCTGCACAGAGAAGGGGCTGGGGTGAACTTGTGACACAAGTCACTAGGAAAAATGGCTCTATACTGTTATGGGCTGAGCTGTGTCCCCCTAAATTCCCATTTGGCAGTCCTAACCTCCAGTACCTCCGAATGTGACTGAATTTGGAGGTAGAGTCCTTAAAGAGGTAATTAAGTTAAAATGAGGTCATTAGGGCAGGCCCTATTCCAGTATGATTGGTGCCCTCAAAAGAGATTAGGACACAGAGAGGGATGACCACATGAGAACACAGAGAAGAGGCTATCTGCAAGCCAGGGAGAGAGGCCTTAGAAGAAACCAAACCTGCCAATACCTTGATCTTTGGAGCTCTAGCCTCTAGAATTGTGAGAAAATAAATTTCTGTTGTTAAACTACGCAGTCTGTGGTATTTTGTAATGGCAGCCCAGGCAGACTAATAAATTCCCATAAAAGACTGAGAGCCCTCTGCCCCAGCCAGGCCTCATACCCTCCTTGGGGATATAGCAGCTTTGTTAACCAGTGTGTCCCTGGCTTGCTCCACTCCATTCAGCCCCTCTCCCCAGCTGAAAGCCCAAAGGTGGCTACTCCCTCTGTCCCACCAGGAAGGCCCTGCTTCTCCCTGCACATCTTTCCAGCTGGCAAAATCCTGCACACACCGCACATCTCCACTCCTCTGGGTTACTTGGTGCCTACTGCTGGTGCTGGTGGTATTTTCAAAATAGGAATCTTCCTTTTTATCCGTATGTTTTCCCACTGGAGAGCAACAGTTGAAGTCTTTGTCATAATCTGTCAGTGCGTGGCAGAGAGGCAGCATCTCTTGCCCCCATCCATCCTCAAGTGAATTAATTTTGATTCTAACACAAGACAAAGAGATACTTGATTAAAAATATTTATTAACAGCATGCCTGATTCTGTGGAAAGCACTTGGACCCTGATCGTTCTGACTCTCAGGGGCAATGTGTTCCAAAGACAGCTGCCTGCAGCTCTATTTCTTGAACTCTGTCTGTGTATACACCTTGGTGGTGTCATTGTACCTGCCTTCAGGGGGCTGGTAGTTAGAAACCGGTGGTGTGTAATCTGGCCCTTTCCTCTCAAAGGGGAACAGATTGGGGTCCCGCTTGATGGCCTCAGTGTGGAGCTCCGGGGACTCAAGTTGCAGCTCCTGCAGAGCTTCCTGCTGGGCCTCCAGCATGACTCTGATGGCATCCCTCTCCATCTCATGCTCTCGCTGCTTGTACAGAGACCATCTCTTCAGAAGCAGAGCTCTCCGCTCACTCTCCTCAAAGGGGAGCTCCACCTGAGGCCTCTGTCTGCAAACACACAAGTCCAAAGGTATGAAGCTGGGGAGTACTGACTTGGCTGGCAAGGGAGTCTGTGTGACTGCATGTGACCCAGGTATCCCCCCTGAAAGGCACAGACAGGACTTAGGAAAGAAAAGTAGAAGTTTGGGACAAATTAAGGAATAGAATGTTGAATGTGGCAGCAGCTACAACTGACACGTGAAGCTGGGGAGTACTGACTTGGCTGGCAAGGGAGTCTGTGTGACTGCATGTGACCCAGGTATACCCCCTGAAAGGCACAGACAGGACTTAGGAAAGAAAGGTAGAAGTTTGGGACAAATTAAGGAATAGAATGTTGAATGTGGCAGCAGCTACAACTGACACTGAGAACCAAGGTCATTTGCTTTCTATCAACAGAAAACACAGATGCTCTGAGACTATGGTAGCACTTCCTCTACCCCAGGCAAAGACTGCCCTTGGTAAGAGGTGATTTTGGAGAAGAGTGAAATGGTGTTATGAGAATTATCAAAATCCCAGGTAGTCTAGAGGCTATATCAGCCCTGGAGAACCAAAACACCTGCCATCTCCCAGTTGCATGGCAAAGTTATATTTTATAGATGGTGCACAATTTTTACAAGAAGGCAGCAAGAGCTGTTAACCCTGCACACAACAAAATCTCAACACATACCAACTATGAGGCATCTATCTGCATGATAAAGCAAGAGGCCAAGGGTTTTCTACTGCAGGTTGGCCAGGGGCTGCAGACCCAAGGCCCAAGTCATCAGTCACAGCCAAGACACCTCATGCAAAAGAGTAACAACATGAACTCTACAGCAGTGCTGAGCGGAACTTGCTTAAATATCTGGCCTGGACTTATCAAAAAATTGTCTAGGTTTCTTTCCCACCTTCAACCATTCAAGAGCACCACCCAAGAATGTTTTCTCCAAGTCCCAAAAGGCACAATCAAGGAGAAAAGGACTCACACCAAGGCCAAGACAACTCAATCCTACTAACCCATTCCCATCACAAGCATGAACTACAGATATAACTACCTGAAGATGATGGAACTCCTCTGCCCTGAGGACTTCAACCTTAGAGAAGGACACTTACCTTTTTTTATCCAAGAGCCTTGTGGGGGTAATAAAATCTTCAATGGGAATTAGCTCTTGGCTAGCTTTTTCCAGTTTTCGGATCCTCTTTTTCAAGCGGTCCTTTACTGCTTGGTCTTTTTTAGGATCTATCTTCTTCTTCTTTCGAAGAGGTTCTGCTCTAACAGATAAGCAAACATTAAACATTTTCCTCTTCAGTCTCATGAACATCTTGAAACAAGATGATAGGTGAAGTGCCCACTACTTGTACTGAGCTCTTCCTTGGCGGAAGGAACTATGATCCTGACCCTATGAGCTCAGTGTAGCAAGGAGTTGGCTTCCACCTCAGGGTCCATGTGAGAACTGTGTGGGCGCTATCATTTCCAGAAGAGGTGCAAAAGCAACATGGGGCGGCAGGATATAAATTAAGGGGAAATGTTCACCCTTAGCGCCAGTATTCAGGTGTGCCTTGGTATTGCACTGAAAAGTAAAATACCAAACTGATGGATTAGAAGCTCATTAAATTTTAAATGGACTTGCAATTTATAAAAATGCTTTGAGTAAGACTAAAAGAGACGGTATAATGAAAACAACTGGCATGTTCCTATTTACTTTTCAGGATTTGTTTAAAATTTTCCCCATCCTAGAGCTTTCACAAAAAAATCTAATGTACTTCTAGGAACACATCTCCTATGGTGATAATTTACCATTAAGAATAAGCAAATGAGGGCCGGTCCGGTGGCGCACTCGTTAGAGTGCGGTGCTTGGAAGTGCGGCGGCGCTCCCTCCGAGGGTTGGGATCCCATATAGAGACCGGTCCGCTCACTGGTTGAGCGCGGCGGGAGCGACACCGAGGGTTGCGATCCCGTTACTGGTCACGAAAAAAGACAAAAAGGGAAAAAAAAAAAAAAGAATAACCAAATGAGGGGCCAACCAGTTAGCTCAGTTGGTTAGAGCACAGTGTTATAATACCAAGGTCACAGGTTCAGATTCCAGCACCAGCCAGCCACCAAAGAAAAGAAAGAATAATCAAATCTTCTAGCATCAAGACTGAGTCAAGTCCCTAGAAAGTGTCCAGAGTGCCAGGTGGAAATACCTTTAATCTTTGCACCTCCCCCACCCTGTCCAGGGCGTCAGAACGGGCAGGGAAGAGGAAGGCTCATAGAGTAACTGAAGTTTAAGCTGTGCTTTAAAACACAAGAATCCCTTAAAAAGTAATTAATCTTTATTTAAACTACTTTTACATTTAGTTGTAAAATTACAAACAGCATTATACAAGGGTACTTGAAAAAGTTCATAAGAAGATTCATATGATCTTTCATTCTATTTTTCCACCAATTTTTTATTTTTGGCGGCTGGCGGGTAAGGGGATCTGAACCCGTGACCTTGGTGTCACAAAGCTGTGCTTGAATCAACTAAGCTAATCGGCTAGCCCCACGACCTTTTTGAAGTACTCTCGTATGGTACGGGAATGTTGAAAAGACAGAAAAACAACTGGCCTAAATTGAATTGAGAAACTTTGTAGGCTGTTAATTTTGCAAACCAAACGTCCAGCTATCTTGCCTTGTTCTGGTCAAAGGCACATCTGTCTCTCGCTGACAACCCCAAAGAGTTTTACCTCATGGGAATAAGTTCCCAGAAGGACAACAATGAAGCTTGCTGGTGGGTGTCTCTAATCTGTGTCCACAAAGTTCCCCGGAGCCTGAAAGACACAAGAGTATGTATAAATATCTGATTCTCCCCCACTTCACGGGGAAAGAAAAAAAAAAAAAACTAAAATGTCCCCAAACCTGGGGCACTTGTGAGTACTGGATGACCAGTACTGCAAGACCAACGTGGGAGTTTTCAAAATCTCCCGTTCACACCACAGAGCACCCGAGAGCGCCTGCTCGTCGGTGTCTTTGGATTTTCATCCGTAAGAGGCACGATCAGCTGACTCATCTCTGAGATATCCATGGACAGAGGCGGCGGAGAGGGAGCACAGACGAGGCCTCCGCCCGCGCCGAGACTCCACACGCGTCCGCTGCTCCCCGCGACTCGGCCGGCGGGCGCACTCACCATTCAGGCGGGCGCAAAGCGCCAACCGCAACCCGGAGCGTCGCCGTGGCCATGGCCATGACCCCTGCAGCAGCTTACCCGCCGCTTCCGGGCGCGAGCCCCTTGGCGGTCCGGCCCACAGTGCCCTGCGCGGAGGTCCGGCTGACGCTCCGCCCCGCGCTCCCGCATTCCCAACCCCATGAAGGGCTGGGCCGCACTGACCCCGCCCCCGACGCAATCGCGCCCCGGGCGTCCAGGTCCCGCATCTCACACTTCCAGCCGCCCCGGGTCCTCCCTTCCGCCTTCACTCGGCGTCGCGAGCCCGCCCCTGCGGCAGGCACTTCCTAGCCAGCCGCTCCCTGGCTGTTCGGCCTGCGCCCCCACGGTGCAGCTGTAGTGGCAGAGGGGTTGTCCCTCTGCTCCTTCGGTCCAAGTGTCTGTGTCTATGAAAACGGCCCTGATCTTCCAGTAAACGCGCCCGCCTCGGCGTCCCCGGCGATCTGCCCTGGAACTGGCTCGTTTGTTCCCGCATTCTATCGAGCCCGGGGCCGCGGCCGCCCGCCGGTGGCTGCATCCCGGTGCCGGCACGGGGCCTGGCGCTCGCGATATGCTCAGTAGCGCGTGTGGATGAATGACAGAAGCTAGTTAATAAGTCAGACTCAGAACCGGCGAGGTAGAGCTGGTGAAAGGCTGTCCACACCACCCCACCCACGCTTAGCCCTACGGACAGCTCTGCCGGTCCGGGTTGCAGCTTGAGGCCCCGCTCGCCCGCCGTCCCGGCCGACCCGCCCCTCGGCGGCCGCGCCCAGGCCCGACTCAGAGCTGAGGCGCCCTGCGCTGCCACTGCCCGCTGAGGAGCCCGAGCGGCCCCGTCCGCGTGGGGAGCGGTTTCCCGCCGGGGCGATTTGGCAGGTGCGCGCCGTGACTTCCGGCGTTGCCCGGGAGCCGCCGGAGGAGGAGCAGCGCAGGGGATGCGGCTGTGGTGGCGGCGGCAGCGGCCGAGCGCGGGGGGCGGCTGTGGCGGCGGTGGGGGCGGGAGGCTGAGCCCGGAGTCGGGTCGGGGCCCGGCGTCAGATCGGGGCCGCGCGCAGGCCCTGCCCTCCTCGCCCCCGACACCCGGTTCCCGGTGCCCAAGCCGCTGAGCCGGCGGGAGCGGACTTTGTCCTCGGCGCGGGGAGGCCGGTGAGACCGGGCACGTGCTGCGGGCTGGCCGCAGCGAGGTCCGACTTCGTCCCTAGCACTGGCTCTGAGCCCTCCGCCCCCCACCCGTGGTTCGTAGAGGCGCCCGCGGCCTGAATCCGGGGAGCTGGCCTGGGCGCTGGCCAGCCTCTGCTACTCGTTTGCCTCGGCCCGGATGTGTTCAGATGGCCCTGAGTGTGGAACCGGGGCGGAACACCCCCCACCCCCGTGGCCTTGATTGAGGAGGTGAAGATCTGAAATCTTCAGAGGGACTGTTACTGCCCCTGCCGAGGCCTGTATCTGGTGACAGTACCTCCAGTGTGGGGAACTGTGGTCCCGGAATATGAGGGCTTGGGTCCGGGGTCTCCCAGCCGAAGAAACCACGTTTAGTGATAATCTGGGGCATCAAGGTGGCTAGGTTTGGGGCAGATGGGGCACAGGTGTGTTCTAGGAGAAGGGCTTCCCTCTCGCTCTGGCAGTGGCCTTAAAGCAAATCCGGGCGGAACGGGACTCATCTACCTGGTTGAAATTTGACTCTGGTGTAGAGAAGACGCTGGTAACCAGCAGTTTTGTCATAGTTCTGCCTTGTTGGCAGAACTACTACAGGAGTTGGTCTTTGCTCCCCAGGGAGACGAGGAGAGAGGCCTCCCGCCCCCAATCCCTATCCCTCTGTTGAAGGCACTGAAGCCCAGGAAGCATCCCAGGGAGGCTCCTCCAGCCCAGCGACTGTGGCTCTGGTCCTGGTCTGTCTCTGACTGCTGGCAGGCAAAGTATCACCCTGATGCTGTCTTCTTCCTCATTTCTACTTTGCAGTGCGACTAGAGGGAGCTACGGTTTTCTTTTTGAGCAGGAGTGGATGCTTTGCCTTTCTTACACATGTAGCTTTTAGTATTGAATTTGACCCCAGGATGCTGTCTACTGCTACAACCAAACTGAACTGTATATCTATGTTCTTTCTCCTCCTTCCATCCCCCTCTCCTTCCTTCTTCTTGTATGACATCTTAACCATTTTTCGGGGCCCAGGTGAGGTCGCCTCTTCCTTTTGAAACTGTTTTGCCGAGTTACCGCACTAGATATGCAGTATCCCTGTCCCTGTGCTGTGGACAGTTATGGGTGTGCTTTTTATGTGCCCCCAGGGCATGGATTGCCTCACTCCCCTCTGTATTCGTATTGCACTGAGCAGTGCCTTCCACATATTGGGTATGTGGTAAATACTGACTGAAACGGGTAAGAAAGCTGAAGTTTTCATGATTTAGAAAGATGCAACTAGGTTTATTGTGCATGAAAACAAAAGCCTTGAGTTTTAGTTTCATTTCTTCTGTTGATCTCCAAGAGCATTTCCTGGTGTGTAGTGTGCAGATAGTGCTGTAATCAGGAAAGGAAAAATTTTATTAAGAACTAGTTTACTGTGTAAGTAAAGGTCTGAAGGAATTTTTATCTTAAAATGCTCTGCCTCAATCAGTTTGTGTGTATAGCCTACCCTCTCCAGTCTGTCTTCTCAGTTCTGCCATATAATTTCTTCCCTTTTGATAAGCTCACTTGTAGGACAAAAGTTTTATGCTATGTAAGCATAAGGAAGTCAAGATGCTTAAACAGTTATCTAGATACAAATGAATGAGAGACACAACCAATTCATCAGCCAAATGTACCAGCCGGGCACAGGAGGGAGACCAGTGGGCCAGAAGCCTCTTGTTGCTGAGGGCCTCTCCACAGCCCTAGAATGGTGTGTAATAATATCTGCTCTACCCACTTCACAGTATGCTTGTGCTGTTCAGTTGGGAACATAGACACAAAAGCACTCCCCAGACTAAGTGCTTTAGAAATCTAAGAGATAGTAATTAATAATAGAAGACATTGAAGCTTGGCTGGATGGGATTTAACTTCTTTTAAACTTGTTCTTTGTCAAATTTCCTTTCTTTTAAAGTCTAAAATCAACCTCGGTCTCATGGAGTGTTCAAGAAGACTGTCAGGGGTAAATTACCACTATCTTGGAATGAATGATGCTGATCTGAATCACTACTGAGCAGGCCTCTAAAGACTGTAGTGAATAGTTGGAGCTGTCAGGGGCAGGGGCTGCTCAGCCAGAAGCCTGAGTGGTAGGTAGTGACCAGTAAAATTGCACACTTGCTTTGGATGAAAAAAACAAAAGCCATGTTCCTTTGGAGAGTGTATTTTTGCACTTTCTGGCTTCCTCACTCTGCATTTATAGCTCCTGTCTCAATTTGCAGCACAAACATATTTTTTCTGTTTTCTGAGAGTCCAAAGTGGGAAGGAGCAGAGAGCTGCCCATTTTTCCTTGAGATAGTAGGGGATGTATTCAGATGAGTTGGAAGGGGCAGCTAGAATAGGAGAGGTTAAAAGCAGAGAGAGAAGTATTTGTTGGAGTGTAGGAATACCTTGGTCTTCATTTTCCTGGCTGATAATAGAGAAACCTCTAAGGTAGGGTTACTCAACCTCAGCGCTATTGACATTTTGGGCCATATAACTGTGGGACTGTACTGTGTGTTTAGCAACATCCCTGGTGTCTACCCACTAGATGCCAGTAGCACCCTCCCATCACCACCCAGTTGTGACAACCAAAAATATCTCCAGACATAGCCAATGTCTATTGGTAGCCAAAATTACCCCCAGTCAAGAAGCAGTGGTCTAAGTTTGTCAGTAAGTTAGTAAATCTCGAAGTTGTCATATTGCAGTGAGATAAGCCTTGAATGTGTAATCAGACTGGGTTCAAGACTCCATCGTTTACAAGCTGTAAATTCTTGGGCTTGTGACTCTACATCTGGGCCTTGGTAAAATTGAACAAGACTCATCTCTTCCATTTAATCTTGTACCCAAATATAAAAGACTGTCTTAAATTGAGGTACATAATAACAGCTAATGATATCTATCATTGATATAGAAGTTATGTGCCAGGCACTATTCACACACACACCACACACACATTTTATTTTGTGTTCTTGGACATAGTATTTTTTACTATATATTTTATTTTAGGCTTAGCCAAAATAACCTTCATTTCTAATTTGGGTTAAGATCAGATATTAGTCCAAAAGTGAAAGCGACTGAGTTTTTGGTTTTAAAGTTTGTTTAAAAAAAAAAGTGCTGGGCCGGCCCGGTGGCGCACTGCTACAGTGCGCCGCTTGGGAAGCGCGGTGGCGCTCCCACCGAGGGTTCGGATCCCACATACAGACCGGCCACTCACTGGCTGAGCGAGGTGCGGGGGCAACACCGAGGGTTGCGATCTGTTGCCAGTCACGAAAAAAGACAAAAAGGAAAAAAAAAAAAAAGCATAGTTTATATGTTTAAAAATTTTTCTTGAGTGCTGGCCAGTTAGCTTAGTTGGTTAGTGCACAGCCTCATAACACCGAGGTCACAGGTTCATATCCCTGTACTGGCCAGCCACCAAAAAAAAAATTCATTGAGATTCATGGCTCTTCCCATCCCTGGGTCTTTGTTCTAGAAAGTTTTTTCTGGAACTCTCACTTGTGGTCAGACAGAGCTCATGCTCAGATCTTCAGTGAAGTCCGTTCTAACCAGGAGGGCCAGGATGGAAAGAGTTGTCATCCTCCTTTGACTTCTGGTTCACAATTTGATGGTAGTGTTGTAAAAAGGTATTTGACAAATATTCAGTAATGGGATAACTTGCCAATTAATCTTTATGGTGTGTGCTTTTTTTCTCCTGTCCTGTAATTGGATTAATTTTTCCCTATTCTGTCTCATTTCAAAAAGGATTTTAAGACATGCTCTTGAGACATATACTGCATCAGTGTGAAAATAAGTCAGCTTGAAGGGAAAATGCGGGCTGATGGTACAATAATGAAGTCAGGAATGAGTATGGTAGGTCTGGCACACCCTCTGGAAGGCACTACCTGTGTCTGAGAAGAGGCTGGGAGGAAATCCTAATGGTGATATTGTATGATCGCAGTGGTTGTGATATATACTTGGC